TTTAATGCTTGACACAATGTTTTATTCCTCTTGTCATTTAGGCCTTTGTCATATACAGAGCAGGTACTGTATCACTGAAGTCTAAAGTTTCATTACCAGCTTCACTCACAGTGGATTTGAGGCCCTGGATAATTCTTTAATGGGATTTAAATACAACTACTCGAATTAGGATATATTTTTGTTTGAAAACAGTAATTAAATAGTTTTGGTTTCACAAGCTTTGAAAAAGGTATATAGAACTGTTTGTGAGGAATACATATTTACGTTAATGTCAATGGAGATCACAGGGCTGAGGTAATTATTCACTTCTCTTAAATCCACCGAGAACCAAACACATCGACTTAGAAACCCGGGGGGTGAGGGGGTCTTTCTGTCACCTTTGCATAAAGGCCAAGACACCTTTATTTACCTGTAACTTAAAGATATTGGCATAGGATTCTCGCCCTTGAGCTTCAACAAATTGAGCTAGACTTGACAAAATACCTCCAACATTTCTTCTCTTTGAAGTCGCAGCAACAGGCTGCCCACCACTGCAGCCAGCCCACAGCTGCACTGGGCAATATTTTGCAGCATGTTAGCTCCCAAACAGGATAGCAGGACAGTTGCTGACATTAAATTGCAAAAACAACTCCTTTCTTCCCCGTCTATGCCCATTCTCCTCATCTCTCTACCCTTTCCAAAAAGATCCAAGCCTCTACCACCACCACCCCCGACACCAGCCCCAACCAACCAAAACCAAAAAACACAAGCAAACAAACTGACATAATCTCTTCCTTAATTTAGAAATATCACTACCATGGCATTTTCATTCCTGGGGTATAAGCAATGGGAGAGATGTCTCAGACCCTGGCGTTAGGGAATGCACATACTAAATAGGCACCAGACAAGACAGGAAGAAGCCAATGCTAGTGCTGGAATAAGATAACCCCCAAATGACACCAGGCATCTGGAAGTTGCCTGCAGCATGCATGGACAAATTCTTTTTAGAATTAGACAAAATCAAATAAGAAAAAAAAAATTGAAATAAAAAAAAGCTCTAGAGACAATTAGAACAGAGGCAATAGATTTTGCATTACTGAAGGAATAAAAGTCAGTTCATCCCTACAGACCCATTCCAAATTATGTTTTGCAACCTTCTATTGAAAAGGCCATCTAGCTGCACTGTGGGCCCCGAACCAAAACATCTCACATCTTTGGGGGGCACTAAACTGGATCCTGAAATTCAGTTTTTCTTCACACTGAAGAGCTTTCCATAGGCTAGCTTGAAGGCTTAATTTCAGAAAGTTTCTCAGAGAAATAGGAAGGCAAAAGGTCACCTATACGAGGGACTTCAAACATTTCTCCATGAACATAATAGTTTGGGCAATTTTTGAGAGCGGATCAGATGCTAGTTAGCACACTGAACTCAGCCCAAGGAAATAACAACTGAAAATCATGGTGACTGATGTCATTTGAAAGCAAAGCTTCCTTTGATGCAGAAGAGAGCATTTTTCCTGAGGGAATAAGGGGAAAAGGACAAATGTGAAATGGAAAAACCCTACACTACACCAACCACCAAAATGACATGCCCAAGTACTGGGAGACTCCATGTGCAGGCATCAAAAGGAAACCCCTCATTTCAGTGCTCGAGATATCAATTCCAAATTCCCGAGTAAAGCCTGCAGCAATATCCAGAACCCCCGAGACACAGCAATGAACCCGACTGGGAAACAGCAAGAGCAAGAGCTGGGTCTAAAAACGCACTCAGGCAAACTCGGCATTTCCGAAGGCTCCAAGAAAGGAGACTGCACTGGAGTGAGAGTTCAGTTCAAATAACAACATGGGATCAAAGCCACTCAAGTCATGATTTTTTACATAAATGAAGCCAAACAGTCGTTATGAACTGGCGAAGGCCGAGAGTTGAAGTAGCTACGTCTAGCTCTCACCACACTGAGAGCACTCAGGTGCCGTGAGGGGCACGCGTTCTCACTCAGTTAAAAGCGAGAGGTGGCTCCTGATGCCCACGGAGGCAGTCACCGCCCAGCAGCGGGACGCTGCTTATGCCTGTGCTTTCTCCTGCTTCTGCTAATCTAAGCCCAAAGCAGTGGAAGACCTACTGCTCCATTTCAATGTCAAAAACGTTAAGCTGAAGAATGAAGAATTCAGTAGACAGTACTTTAAAAGCGCTTTTTAAAGACAGTATTTAAAAAAATAAAATCCATAAGGGTCTTTTGTGAACATGGAAACAGAAAAACAAGGGAGTATTTTAATCAACATTTTCACACATTGAACATTTCTCTAAAATGTCAAAATTTTAAAACAAGAATCACGTCCCTGGCTGGATTTATTGCACCAGAAGAGTGGTCAAAGCTCAGTCATCCTACACACAGAAGCAGCTTCCACAAAAGTGAATAGAACTGTGAATATTCATTATTGTCTAAACCAGACACTTTGTCCCAAAATGCTATATTCAAATGCATATTTGAGTGAGAATAAAATGTGTGGTAAAGCTAAAATAATGAAACTGTAGTCTTCAGTGAAGATCTTTTCAGGAGTTTGTTATTCTCCTTATTTCCTTTTCTTTCTGACACATTTTAAACTGACTCACCAGGAAACTGAGCACTGAAGTCAACTCCCTCCAACCCCACCAAATAGAGACCAAAAATAATTGAGTTCTTTGAAATCAGGTATTTTCTGCGCTCAAACAAACAGGGTTTTTACAACAAATCCTTCTGAAGTTAGAGCAGATTTCACAAAGCTTTAAATTTCTCTCTGAGTGGGCTTCTGAACTGTCATTCCTGGTTATTATTAGTAGGCACAGAAATTCCCATTTTGATTAGAAACTTTATTTTGAAATACATTACACAGTTTACATGTGAAGTGCTTTCACTGTAAGATACTTCATAACATTGTGCTGAGCAAAATGGCTGACCAATTTCCTTGAAGCTCTTCCAGTTATGTTTTGTTTTTATTAAAACTATCTTACAGAACTAAGATGCAACTTCGGCATTTGTATTCAGAAGCTAATTACTATGTTTACCTTAGGGAGAAAGTCTGTACTTAACTGTTCCAGTTAACTATGTGTTTCAATAATGACGTTAAGCATTTGCCATAAGACTGAAAGAAACCTGAGTCCTAATTAAATTTGTATTCACCAAAGATCAAAAAAAAACCCCCAAAACCTAATCTTTGTGATCAAACTACTTTTTTTTTTTTAAATAAGGCACAGTCAGACAAGTATTTATAAAGACTGGCTACCAGCTCAGTTTTACCTGCACAGCCTTCCTGCTGGTCTGTCAAAAGTAATCTGAAAGTTGTTTTCCCTGTCTGCTGCTGAGATTTTCAAGAACAAGGCAGAGTAGTAAGGCAACTAAAAGAACGGACATGCAAAGGAGTTTGGCATTTGGGATGGATTCCAAACATCTGCAAAGTAGTTCATTTTGTAAATGGAACATTCACCTGTTGTTATTAAAATGGTGGCCAACTGTGATAAGGAAAATAGAAGTGGTGCAAGCAGTGCCTGCTTGCAAAAAGGGTACTTTAATAGAAAACTCAAGATGTCTGGTACGCTGAAAGGTAAAGACTTTGTATGCAGCAATTCCCACAACTTTCAAAGATAATCTAAATTGAATTCTGAAATTCCCCTCTGCCACTCAGAAAAGCTGAATGTACCAGGAAATTGCTTGACAGCAGGTGAAATATCAGGGAATGAAATCTCCATTTAGATAATGAGCCAGTACAGCCACCCTACTTTGCATTCCTTATCAGAACAAAAGGAAGTCTTCAGGAATGATAATAACTCAAATAATTACACCATTATTTTGGCTGGAAGAAAGTTCAAGAAATCCTAAGATGTGATGACGTTTAAAGAACATGAAACAATTCCACCCACAGTCAAAGAATAAAGAATAAAAAATAAAAAAAGAGAAGCCTTACCTTCCCCTCCCAATTAAATCTTTGAGGAATAATTGCTTGAGCTTAGCACTGTGTGGCTTCTGTGGCTTATGAATACTTGATAGATGCTCTAAGAATTATCATTTTCAAGCTACTGTTTGTTTTCAGTTTTAAGTCATTTCAAATAAAAATACTGCACCCATTTCACTTTAATGATCAAACTGAGCATAAAAATCATTAAAAGTGTATTTTTGATACAAATTTGTATCACATACTAAAAGATACTATTTTATAGATAATTGTAAAACAAAAAGAATTAGAATATACAAAAGGTTTTTAAAATTCTTTTGCACAGCTGAACTCATAGTGCAGGTTTAAGATTAAAAAATCTGTAAATAAAGTAGTCATAACAAATGTTGAATATAAAATACATTCTAAAGTATTTTACAGAATGGCTGAATTATCAAGTGTAAGAACTGAGGATAAAGGATGTTAATGACAAGCAGCCACATACAGAACACAAAGCAATAAGTTTAAATCAGACTATTTTGGTTTGTGTAGCCCTTTATTAGCAACTAAAATAGAAGGTATCTGTTGTACATCATGGGTAGTAACTGACTATACTGGAGTTTTATTATATTCTAATACAGGATCATTTATAAATGCGTTGTTTTCCTTTTTTTCTTTTATTAAAAAGCTTCCACCCCTTTTTCCGTTTACAACTTGCAAAACTATTCTGAAAGCTGAGTACATGTGCACAGGTCTGCAAAGAGTGCAAATTTAGGATATGGTAAATGCTTTACATGTTGTATTTGTAAGGACTGTCTGCCACCATGCCTTCATAGCCATTATCTTTTCCAAATAAAAAAAAAAAAAAAAAGAAATCACAAAATGTTTCAATACCAGCCTTCCTTCCATTGTCCTAAACAAGAAAGCATTTTTAAATGAGTTGAAACTAAGGAAGGACTACACCTACTAGAAAAGAAGAGAGTTCTATTATTCTGAGGTTTCAGTATATCCAAAGACCAGGGACTGTATCTTTGTAAGGGCTAGGCTGGGACCCCGTATACAGAGTGTGTGCAGGTGC